CACACCCACACCCACACCCACACCCACACCGACACCCACACCCACACCCACACCCACACCCACACCCTTTCTGAATCCTTTTCTAAGTTGTAGTCAAAAGTTCAGAACTTAAAAAGGTCTTAGTCGGAAAGTGTGAAACTTTAAACAGTTCAGACTTTTTGGGTAGATCCAAAAAATAACTTTTCATTGAAAGAGTAATGTTTCTTTATATTATTAACCAAAGAACATTTAAAGACATTTTTTTAAGTGCTACAATGCACGAGAGAGAATTTTATGCTGCCATATTCTAAAACCCTTTGTTTTATAAAGTAGTCGACAACAATGGCAATTTTATTTGTGAGAATCAAAATAGCTCTATTTTGATTGTGTTGATATTGACCATCACGATGGTATTGTGATAGGCACACATAGATATATCTAATATTGTCAACAATTGTTGTTTCAAAAAAGTAGAACAGCATATAATATGTATTAACCATTCAGTCGAGGATCAAGCGAGACCAAGCGACGAACGTTACTTGTAATTTATCGGTGAGAAACATCGACACAAACAAACTCATTTTATTTCATATGATCCTTCCTTCAGTCGAGAAAACAAACAACCTAAAAAAATTTATTTTATGCAAAAACAAAATTTTCGCAGATGTGGATAGCTTCGTACGATACAATCAGCCGATGATTTGTAAGCATTGAGACGGCTAATATGAGTATGATCAGTGCTTAGACTACCAGTTTGACTTGTGTATTGAGTTGTTGCCTCAAATATAGCTCCATTCGGTTTTGTTCGAAAAGTAATTTGATAGAAAACAACATCATTCGCCTTATTCCAGTGGGCAAGTACTCGAACACGTCGATCTACTGATACTGAAAAATTTTTCTTAGGTCTATACATTTGTGCACTACGAATTGAGTCAAGTATAAGAGGACGACATAACGACTGGCGTCCAGTTGAAAGAAGTTGATTGATATAATTAACAATATGTTTGGCTGCCTGTTTAATTTTGATATCATTCACATTGACTTTTTGCCAATGCAGACATGAACACCAGTGCGGCGCGAGTTTAATATGATCACATGTTCGTTGTGCTGGTATAACATTAAACAGAGAGATAGCTCGTTGTGTGACATTGACATTATTTGTACTGCTCGCCTCGTTCATATCGAGTAGAGATAGAAGTGTAGCATGAACATCCAATGGAGTAGTCAAACGATTGATATTCGTTCGAAGTGCATTGACTGCACGTGGATACTTTTGACGAAAGCTCGATGGTAAAATGAAACTCATGAATGGTAAACGTTCTTCAATTGTGCCCTGTGGTGTATGACGAGCCGCTGAAAATCGTGCTCCATGATCTGTCATTAGAATGAAAACAGTACGTTCAAGTTGACCAGATTTATGTAGCGTGCGAAGTAGATCAAATATAGGTGCATCGGTCAACGAACCTCGTGAATAATCATCGTGCGTATACTGTTTGAAGAAACCAAAAAAAAATTTGTTATCTGTCGGATACGATGTCCAAAATCGCCGGATGTATGAAAGAAATAATTCGAACGATGTTTGATTGCCAAAGCAATAGGAGTTTTGTGCATACAAGAAAGATTTGGTTACTGGTAGTCGGTAGAATGGTAGCATATAATGATCAGTCGGCGTTTGATTAAAACCTCTCAACCGTAATGTCCAAATTCCGATATTGGGTCCATCTTCAGCATAGCCTGTAACATAGCCTTGATCTCGATATTTATTCCAAACAAATGGATAGACATTGACAAATGAGCCGTTTTTATCACGATGGAGTGTCGATGGCAATTCTTTTTCTTGCATACCCGTCAACATTGGAATAATTTGTGCTGGAGTTCCATCGCCCAAAATATTGTAACCTATTTATTTTTTAAAAGGATACAGAAACAAATCATGAGAAAATTTTCCACTATCCTATAGTTTTTTTTTCTTAATAATGGAAAAGCGATTAAATCAAATACTTCTAAGATATAACTGAACAAATTTATGCGCTTTTAAATTTACTCCGTTCTTTGAAGCCTGATTAAATGATGTTAAGAATACTATCTTGAAGGTGTAGATGTGAGTGTTCAATTCATCTAGATCAACGCCCACATCCACACCCACAACTACACATACACCCATACTTTTATCTCCGGAAGTTTGCCACTTGGAACAAAAGTTTTTGTGCTATTAAATAGACCATCTATCTAAGTATATTCAACACTAATTGAATTTTCAAAAGACGTACTTTCGGTTTTTTGCCAAATATCCGCATGGATATTCACTGTACCCTGTATACATTGCTGTGTACTTCGGACTCCCCAGTGAGTACATGTATGACCTTAAGCAGCTATCTCAGCTTGACTAACCATTTTTTCACGTGTAAAAAAAACAATTTTGTAGAATTCAAATATTAAAATATGTGAAGTTAAAGTAGAAACTTTTCAGTTTTCCATCCTCTCTCTTACAGACAGGCTCGTTATAGCTCCTTAAAATCTTCTTCTCCTGCAGGCACTAACTTGTTATAGACAGCTGCCCTTGACCACTGGATCGAATATTCACGATTAATAGAATTTTAAAATACTACACTGTGTTCCAAAAGTTCCTTTCTAAAAGTTTTTTTTGAATATCTTTCCTACTTTATTTAACTTTATCAGCTTTTCTTTTTAAATAATAGGTGGAGACAACGAGATTTTTTTGATCCGAATGAGTTTCAAAAATATTGCTCAAAGCTGCCACCTTTCATCGAAATACAAAAAATTAATCCTTTTTTTTTATTTCCAGAAAAAACATTTGTTAAGGTTTCTTTTTTAATTGTTTCGATTTCTTCTTGAGTTATTTTAATCTTTAAATTATCCAAATTCTTAATTTTTGTTTTATAAACATTTGTTTTGATGTGTCCTTGTAGAAAAAAATCTAATGGAGTTAAGTCAGAAGACAGTAGCGCCCATGAGATGGGACCACCTCTGTCAATTCATCGATCATCGAATTTGTCGTTCAGCCAACAACGACCTGCATGGGAGAACTGAGCTGGCGCTCCATTTTATTGAAAAAACATCTTTGTAGTAATCCTTTTATTCTGTAAGATCGGATAAAAGAAGCTTTGCAGCATACCCAAGTAATTGTGTTGATCAATTGTTGGTTCATCAAACAAAAATGGATCAACAATTGTCTTGCTTGAAATGCCACATCATATAATAAGTTTTGATGAGGTCATCGCAACTTCTACAGTAACATAAGGATTTTCTTGAGCCCAAATACGACAATTATGTTTATGAATCAACCATGAAATGTGAAATATTGCCTCATCTGAGAAAAAGATCATACCATCGTTGTTAGTATCATTAATAATCGGCAAAAGGATTTCGACTATCTCAACGTGTAAATCTTTGTCTTCGTCGTACAGCTCTTGTGTTAAATGTATTTTACATGGTTTATATCCTAAAACATCATGCCTTGCACGATGGGCCACCGACTTCGACATATTAACTTCTTGAAAAACACGGCGAACACTATTCATCGAATTGTTTGACAAAACTTCAGCACTTTTATCTAATTTTTTGGATGCTGTTACAGATGGTCTTCCTGATCGTTCACGATCATGTACCAATCCTATTTCAAGAAACTTATCATAAATAGCTTTGATGGTCTTCTCTGTAGGAATATGCTGCACATGGTCGTTTTGGAAATGTCGTTTCACTAATGATGGAAATTGTAATTTAGCCATCATGACTACAATTTCAATTCTTAAGTGCAAATCAACCGACATTTGATTTTATGTGAAATGCACATGTGCTCGTTTAGTCTCTTATGATACAAAAAACATATAGCTATCCCCCACACTGATCAGTGCCAATAGAGGGCTTTATTTTTTATACAAATAGAATAACAATTTCGTTTCTCCCATGCAGTTGGTTATTGACTGAACGACAAATTCGACGATCGATGGATTGGCAGAGGTGGTCCCATCTCACGGGCACTACTGTCTTCTGACTTAACTCCATTAGATTTTTTTCTACAAGGATACATCAAAACAAATGTTTATAAAACAAAAATTAAGAATTTGGATGATTTACAGATTAAAATAACTCAAGAAGAAATCGAAACAATTAAAAAAGAAACCTTAACAAATGTTTTTTCTGGAAATAAAAAAAAAAAGATTAATTTTTTGTATTTCGATGAAAGGTGGTAGCTTTGAGCAATATTTTTGAAACTCATTTGGATCAAAAACATTTCGATGTCTTCCCCTATCATTTTAAAAAAGTTAATAAAGTTAAATAAAATAGCAAAGATACTCAAAAAAAACTTTTAGGAAGGTACTTTTGGGACACACTGTATACGTAAAAATCTGTTTTGTTTTCTTAACATCAAAAGATCAAATGAAATATTTTTCAACTTAATTAAAACTGATTCTTCTTCAAGAAAAATCCACTTTAATTTTCTTTTTAGTGGGCAAAAACTGATTTTTTTAAAACAAAAATATCTTTTTTCCGATAAACTAACCTTTGAGCACAATGCCATCAAGTTTTTTGGTTACATAGGCAAATGTTTTTGGTAACATTCGTTCGAATTGTAATCTTGACACACTGTCTAGACTCAGTATGAGTATATTGAAATCGTTCTTTTTTTTGGTGACAGCAGCAAGTCGTTGTCGAACATTCCGATCATAGCGAATAGAAATGTAAGGTAATTTAGGATATGAAGTTCGATTTACTGATGGTAATGTATTTTTGGATTGCCTACATTGAACTATCAAATGATCACTCAAGAGAGAAATGCTAATGTTGTATGGAAGAACAATCGGTATCTCTTGATAGTGACGATCGCCATGACCCAAATAGAAGAGAACAGTACAATTAAGATAATTATGAATAAGTCGTACAGCATAGTTATCGATTGAAACTGGAGAGAACCGTAAACGACACGTCGGATGAATAGTTTTGGAAACAGCAAATTTCAGACCATGAATACTCAGCGAAAGTTGAGGAAAACGGCACTGAAACAAGAGATAAAAAGGAAAAACGTTTCATGACATGAAAAAAAAACCGTTCATGTCTGTGTCACTGAAAGATTTTCCTACTCTATAAAAAACCAAATTCGTTATTCGAAATTATTGTTACCGGATATAAAGCCTCCAAGTTGTCTGAAATATCCGTGCCATACCAAGGGCTCGACCGTTTGGGCTGAACTCTTTTGCATGTGGAACTAATTTATATGTGCATTCAAACAAATTTTCCGTTGGATCGGTTAAGTTGTTCTTCAAATACAGAGCTTAAAAAATCCCGTTTCAGAGAGTTAGCATTTTTAGGGTTTTAATAAAAAAATCCGTCAAAAATCGGTGGTTCAGTATTTTTCAAAATGGTGTTGGATCAAAATTCATAAAACTATTGCCTGTACAACATTTTTTTAATTGAGCAAAATTTGAAGACCCTGATAGAACACTCTCGGTCGCCGCTTACGTATACTGACTCTTATATCTTTTCGATAATTTAATATTTTCTGAAGTATATCATTGAACTTAGCATAAAGTGAGAAAACATGTTTTGTTTCGTTTTTATATCTGAAGATTCAATTCGAATATGGATTGATAGATTGGAATTTACGTAAGATTCAAAAAAAAGAAGGCAGAATGGCTCCATAACATTTTACATTGTACCTCGATGATGTCACCGTTATTCGAGGAAGATTTTGAGAAGGTATCGATAGTAGCATTGTTTGTTCGTATACGAATGAGTAAACTCGTCGCAATAATCACAAAAATAAAATAGGTAATAATAGATTTGCAAGACAAAGGCCGATTTCTTGTCGTTATTGCTCTTGACAATGAACTGTGTGGAATAATCGAATTAACAAATCGTAGTGGCCAAGTGAATTTGGCCAACAGGAAATTTTTACGATGAAACATGAGAGATGATGAATGATGTTGTTAACATTTTTAGGTATGTGAATTTGAATATATGAAACGTTACAATAGTGATAAATGGTATATAATGACCTATGCATACATGTAAAAGAACGTTGAAAAAGGAATAGACACAAACATTTGAACAGAGAAGAAGTGTAATCAGGATATATATATCAAGAGGCTCGCAGAAAAGAAAAAGGAAATAGATAGAAAAAAGATACATATCTAGTTACGTTGTACATGACATCTTGAAGTCTAACGAACATTGTCTTTCTCTCGGCGCCTCGTTCTTCATCCGTAATTAGTCTCACAATGCACATTTTTTGTACATAAATTACAGCAACAATACTAAGCCGATTTCTTTGTTCCATACTATATTTTCTTGTGCAGAGCGAAAAGAAATGATTATATACGCATGCACACCTGCAACTACATTGTTGACATACAGTTTCAATACGCTCGTTTTTTTACGTTCTTCTTCGCACTTTCTTTCTCTCTGAATTTATCTACCTAAACAGTTTGTAACACTGATGCAGACATAGAAGAAACAGCCATTTGAGTATTGCTGTTTCTGTTATCATTTATAAGGTTTGCTCGTGCCAAAACGGCTATAACTCAACTAAAGAACCGCCCACTTGTAACCTTGTCAATCAAAATAAGCAATGGACTAACAAAAGTATCGCATAATGAAGAGTAGCCTAGTCTCAATCCCGTTTATCCCTTGAGAAATCCTCGTAGGATCTTTCAGGATCCTGTTTCGAACCTTAGTAATTTCTATTTCCAGGATTTTTCAAGGTGAAACAAGATCCTATTCAGAATTTCTTGAAGTTTCTGCCTAGATATTTTTCTGAGTAGAGATTACAGGATTCTATCAGGATTTATTCAAGCGTCTATCCGGAACTTTTCAAGAATATGCGTTTCCAAACCTTGCAAAACAATGTCGATCCTAAACAGGATCTTGATAAGAAAATATATGGATCTAACAAAGATCTTTATAGGTTACTCTATAATCCTCTCAGTCATGTCCATTTCTTGAGATAATCTTAAAGTATCTTTTAGAATCATTCATCTCAAGGATCCTGCCAGGTTTAATTCAGGATTGTATCCAGGATTTGTTCAAGTTCTTGCTCGGATGTTTTTCTAAATTGAATTAACAGGATCTTACTAAGATTCACTCCCAATCCTATTCAGGATTTTGACAAGAATCATAGAAAGGTTTCCGTCAAGATTTTATTACGTAAGAGTCAAGATCTGTTCTGGGTCGTGATACGATGATCCTATCAAGACTGACAGTTATGCCAGAGAAGGATAATACCAAGAATAAAACAAGATTAGTCGGAGTCCCCAACTAAGAAATCCTATCAAACTTCGATCAGGTTCCTGAACAGAATTGTTCAAGAACAGGCATTTCGAATGCTTAAAAAAATACAAGTATAATCAGGATCTTGATAAGAAAATACAAGAAGCCAATGAAGATCTTTCCAGACTTGTGTTTAGAGACTATTCAAAATTTAGTTTTCAGGATTCTGTCAGAAGCCTAGCAAGAATGAATGAAACGATTCTCTGACGATTTTAGCTAGATTCAAGTCAGAATATTTTCAATATTTGTAAATCTATAGATCACAGTAGAATTTCAATACCAATATTGAACAAAATCTTCACAAAAATAAATAGAAGGACTTTTCAAGATACTATTGTGTTTTTGTTCGGAGCACAACAAAATTCTGAGGACTGAGTAATCTACTGGCATTTTTATCTTGATCTTGATTTGGTTCCTTCCATAAACAAATAGAATGAATCTAAAAAATCTTAGAAAAAAATATTTCTAAATCTCTTGAAGGTTTGTATAAAATTTGTTTTGAGATTGGACTACAACAATGAGTTCTTTTTTTATCTTACCAGGAAAAGAAAGTTGATAACTATTAAATTAGGATGTTAATTTGCATTTAGTCATCGTTAAATTTCTTTTCGTGAAATACATAGTTTTATTCAACAGCAAATCTTTCGATAAAAACGCTTGTAGTTCTAATAATGTTTGAAAAAAATTCAAAAAATGTTTTTTAAATCGAATTGAAATTAAAAGAAGAGTAAAATTTTATCGACTAAAATAAATGTGTAAAATGATATTGCATTAATCATAAGTTTTTGAAATAATTTATATTCACATAAACTTCAAATAGAAGTTTAAATTAAAGTTAGAAATTGAAATATAGAACATTGCAGTGATATAGAATGACATGGCGCATTCAGCTGGATAAGCTGATCGGTATGTAGGCTGAGAGCATAGAGATCGATACTCTATGTGTTCATTTCTCTTATATTCTATTTAGAAAATCCTGCAAAGATCCTGTCAAGAAACTGATAACATCCTGGAGGAATCCTAGTCCAATTCTATAAAGGTCTTGTCAAGAACATTGATAATGTTTTCGAGAAAACCTAGTAAAATCCCGAACAATGTGATAAGAAATCATTTTTTTTTCCAATTTCGAATTATTGAAATCCTGACAAGATCCTACACTTCTGTGACTATATACTTCTTTCGGGAATCATTGATTTCCTGACTTAATCCTGGTTCAAAAACAATGATAAACTTATCAGGACCCTTGATAATCTTGTTTTGAATCCTGTTAGGATCCTAAAATCTCGTGGCTACACACTGCTTTCAGGATTAAGTCGTTTCCTCAAGAAAAAATAGCGAATTCTTTCAGAATTCTGATCATATGTGGCAAGAATCTGGCACTGAAACATCAAAGATTTTTTCTATCGCGTGTTTTTTTCTTAAACCAGAAGAAATTATACAACACATATCGAACCTGATTGACTCA